ATATATATATATATATATATATATATATATATATATATATATATATATATATATCAGCTAAGAAACATTTCATTGGTATTAATTTACCTTTCATTATTTAAAATGACTAAAATCTAAACAATGCTACATGCTGAAATACGCCAAAAAAAAAATAAATAAATGAATAATAATAATAATAATACATTAACTTCTGGGGTAGTGTTTAGTGGATAAAAGTATTTCAAGAAATCTTGGTCCTGTTCATTGCACATCTGGTTCTAATGGGTTTCCATCTGTTTCTGGATGTATATGGGAAATGTAAAAGCTGAATCTTTTGCTTTGCATCATTATGTAAAACAAACTCTCCGGTTGACATAAATTAAATATAATAACCCTATTTTCTAGGTCCCTGAACTCTCCTCACCTTGCTCGCCTCCTGGATGAGCCGCCGCACCACCTCCTTGATGTGCGGTCCGTTGTCTTTGGGTGGGTGGGTGTGTACGGCCACCCGGGTCACCCCTCTGAAGAACCCACCGCTGGGCCAGCCGATGTCCAGCGACGGGACCTCGGTGTCCGACATCAGTGGCCAGTAGGTAGAATGAACCCCTGAGTCTGCGTCGGTTCCAGAGGCTCCCTGTTCCGCCGTCCTGCTGCTGCTGCTGGTGTCATTAGAGTCATATTGTTTGAAAGTGCTCACGAGAACTTTAACTTCCCTCGCGGATAAAAAGTCTTTCGCGTTGTCTTCCTTGAGTCGCGTCTTGAAGGCGCCGTCGCCATTCTTCAGCAGCTCCTCGATGGCAGCACGCTGCTCTTCGCTGTAGTAGAACTCCGGCTTGGACTCCGGGACGTTGACACCGATGTGTCCGTCCTCCATGCATATAAGCTGGGATTCAGCCATGGCTACGGAAGCCCTGGCACCCCTAGGGAGGTCAAACTCCCCCCTACTTTACTGACGGAATCTTCAGAGTGTTTACCTGTGTGACGGCACAGGTAAAATAAAATAAAATAAAATAAAGCTGGGAAGTTTTCTTACCTGACCTGAAGCGTCAGAGGTGGGACAGAGAACACGTCTCAATCTCTGGTGCTTTCAAGTGAAATGGAAAAAAGAGAACTATCCTACAGTACAACGAATTGAGTCAAATAAATCCTCTTTCGGATTGTCTAAAAAAAACTGTTGTGTCCTGGGAATAATTAGTTAGATCTTTTTTGTTTGTTTAATATGATTTAATCAAAAATCCTTGTTATTCTTTCACATGTGATTTTATTTATTTTAACCAAAATCGCCTGCAAATATTTAGTATTTATCGTCGTTCTGCAATTTCTTGCTTAAATAAACGACTGGTGTACATTTATTTATAAAAATTATTGAAAAACATTCGGATAAAAGAGTGGGAAGGGGAACGTTTATTACCCTGAAGACATAAAGGTTTAATTAACCAGGTGGCCCTGAAGAGGGTTGCCCTGGCGGAATCTCAAAGCGTTGAGTTTATTTCTCTTTTCTTTTTGTGGGAAACATATTACATATTGAAGTTTTTTACAGCATAAATCCTGTGTAAATAGAACAATGAGTGCTCTGCTCATTCTCCTTGAAAATTGATTTTATTACCGGGAAATTCTCGGGGCAAGCAAGAATGATTTCCTCTGCACATGTTGTGCATGTACAGTTCATACATTTGGGGCAGTGTTCTATTTGTATTTTCAAACTACTTTTCTCAAAACTAACCACACATTTCAGAAAAATCCCAGAGACAACTTACAAATACTTAGTTTGTTTGATTCTTATAGCTGCAGTATTTAATAAGAAATATATATTTTTTACATATTTGTTGAAAGTGTCAACAAATATGTTGACAGCATGACCTGATCTGTGAAAAACATTGAGCTCCAGCTGCCTTTGTGACGGTGCGGCGAGAGGTTGGAGATGGAGTTAGCAGCGGTGGTTAGCTACTCTAACCCAAAACAGCAGGACGCACTTTTGAAGTATTCCACACTTTAAATTTATTTAACTTCGTCCACGTAAAGCCAGATCTCCACGGTACTGAACATTATATTTTCATACATGAGAAAAGTAATGTTAGTTTACCGCTCTGCACCTCATCATCACCTATGTTTTCTTCTACAACAAAATGGAAGACTAGTTCTTCTTCTGTCTCTCCACCATTAGCACATTTAGCAGGGCATACATGAGACTGATTAACAGCGGTAAGACCCTCCTCCTGGCTCTGATTGGTTGTTTTTGGTAGGACGTAATGCGTTTCTTCAGACAGCTCAAGGAGGAAGTGGAGCAGATTGATCTTTTCACAGAACGTACTGTCACAACATGGGGACATTTTTAACAAATATGGGGGGAAAAGAACTTTCTTTAAAAAAAAAAAAAAGTTAAATACTGTAGCTTTGCTCTATAAGCTTTGAACTGGTTGAGAGGGGCGCACGCCAAACAAGCTGTTCCCGCCTAGTGGGTCTGTCTCGCGCGTTGTCGTGGCACATGGTCGTGCTCGTGGACCTGAATTATTTTAACTGGATCATGCACCACCTTACACTCAAACTGGATGATTTGGAAGGTGCTCTGACAGAGCAGGTCCCTCGACTGGAATTCATATAATCCCTCGATTTCTGAGAATAGCTGCGTCACCGATGTTCGGCGTCAACTAGAAACGCTCACTGCTTGCTCCGCTCACGCGAGCTCGACACTAGCTTTACGCGAGCTTTCAAAAGCGCGACAATAACTTAACCCTCCTATTATGTTCCGGGTCAATTTGACCCGTTTCAA